GAGGGTTTCACTGAAATGTAAAGTTAAACAGAGCAACTGAGAGCTGCTAATGCTTCAGAATGTACAGAAGAGGTTTCAGATACTTTAAAATTTAGATGAGCCCTTGAAGAGTCTTTATCCTCGGCTCTGATGTTTAATTAACATGGAAACTGTTTGATCATCATTTGCAATATAGGAGAACTAGAACAACATAATTGGACCTCCTGTGACATTATAAAGCCTAAGCCATTGTGACTTGACATCTACAGGGCTCTCCATTAGCCTACATAATCAGTACATGGTACAAGGGCATATACACTTCACTGCCATATCATTGCCGTGCCTATAATCAAGGCAAAGAACATCTTCTCTTCTATAACTGCTATAATACTCTAGCGTCTGGTGGGATAATACCGATGTAGGAAGACAGAATAATATTGCATTGATGTTTAGAAATTCAGACTTGTATGATGAATGTATTGTTTTGTTTCACAGATAAAGCGCAGGCATGCCTGCTCAGTAGATATGCTCAAAGGCTACTATCACAGTCAGAAGCAGTGTGGATTTATGGCACAGAAAAGGCTGAGTGCTGCTCTGTGTCTTTTTATTTTCCAGGCATGATGTAGTTAAATTGGAATACCTCAAGCCGCTTAAATCTCTGCTGAATTAATTTCCGAGGAATGTCTTTCCCCCTGTGGCATAGCAGCCAGCATGAAAGGGGGTGCAGAGTGCTATCACTGTAGGCTGCTGTTCTGAGTGCCATCGACACAGTGAAGAGCAATGGGAGCTCTGTCTCACACACAGCCAAACAGCCGACTGAGAATACCGGTGGCACTTGTGGGTTTATGATACCTTTTGACTCAGCTGCTTTTCTCTCTCCATGGAGACACGAGGAGTGCTAATGAACAAAAAGGCTTGGTGTATCATATATAATGCATATAGTGAAGACGTGGCGCAGGTGAGGAGAGGGGACGATAGCTCTCACGTAACGCAGACAACAAACACGCACTGACTGTGGGTAATGGTTGCTGTGTTACTGACCTCGGAGTGAGTTATTCAATAAAATCTGCATTGTGGGAGCAGGCAGCATCATTTTCCATACTGCTTCAGGGTGTTGGTAGCTGGAGACCATCCCAGCACACATTTAGACCAAGCAGCACATAAAAGCTTTATCTCTGTTCAGGAGCTGGATACCCCTGATGACCATGCTCATACCAATGAGTCCAACATTTTCAGGTTTACCCTAAATATAAATGTAAACTTTCTTACTTGGTCTGATACAAGTTCAGAAATCATTTTCGTCTCTCATGCCTTCAAACTGTCAAATTTCTGTTCTTAAATTGAACAGATGGAGGGTTAGAGGGGTGGTTTGACTATTGGTGACTGGGTAAGATGGTGACAGCAGGATGTCTCTATGTTTAATGTCATGCTGTCACTCAGTGTGTGTAAAATTATATTTGAGCTTGCACTGTGTCTTAGCATATTCTTTGCATATTTAAATCACTTGTATTATGTATTTTATTATGTTTTATGTATGTTATGTTCAATCTCTGTGTGCTCTGTGCAGGCTAGGTGTCAGGGGGGCCAAACATGTATATGATGTATAAAGAGAACTGGACACAGCATTGGAGGTGGGGTGTCGTTCATTCCAAAGTTGCTCAGTGGTGCATGAAGCCAAAAAAGCTTGATTTCCATGGTCCCCATAAAGCAAGCCCACTGGAGACTTCCGCTAGCCAAGTGGCTAGTCGGCTAACTTCCGATTCTGCTACCAGGCAGGACATGATGTCAAGCTTAGCTTGCATCCCAGCTACATCAGCTGATTTCAAACAGCCAATGGAGCGGCTAATTGATGGAAGGGAGTCAGCTGATAGATCACATGACTCCTTTCTATGCAACCACTTGGCAAATCTCATTCAGGGCACCCTATTTAAACTGCTCTGGCCTGCCTACTGTTGCTGCTTCCTCTGCTGCTTATGCAGCTAAAATCTGGAACAGTCTTTCTGAAGATGTGAGACAGGCCTCTACTCTGACAATGTTCAAATCTAGGCTCAAAACAGCTCTATTTCACTGTGCATATGACTGAAAGGATCTTATCTGCACTCTTCTCTTTTAAAGTTCATTTTATAATGATTATGTTTTTATTTTGTATTGTGATTTTAATGCATTTTCTTGTTCTGTAAAGCACTTTGAATTACTTTGTGTACGAATTGTGCTCTACAAATAAACTTGCCTTGCCTTGCCTTGCAACCTGCCACCATCCCAGCTCCTCCTTTTCATGCTGTGTCTGACTTATCAGTGTCATTTATGTTTGTCATTGATGCTGCTCTGTTCTGTTCCCAGGGGGTCTTTGCTGCTGCTCTCCCTGCCTTAGGCTTTCCATGTAGGCACATGGAAGGGCAGGGAAGTTTGCTCTCACTGCCTCAAGCTTTCCTCGTTTGCACGTGGAAGGGCAGAGAGGTTCCCTCTCTTTCTTGCACAGACAAAGCACTTGTCTTTTGCTGGACACATTTTCCTCACAAGTACAACACGCTAATGTTATTAGCACAAGCCTATGTCATTTTACATTGTATTAATCAGCCTAGCAGCTAACAGACTTTTCCTTGATTCCTATGAGGCCAGGGACAACAGCAACATTTAACAAAGGTAAGGTTACAAAATTGGGCTCCATTACCACTCTACATCAACGCAAAGCCTTAGCTTAAAGCCCCTACAAGGAACCTTTATTTTGAGTTGATTTTGGCGACCCTGTGGACAAAAGTGGTAGTGTTTTGCCGGAATGAAGCCTACATTTCCCATGAGCTCTAGCGTGTATTGTCGTAAAGACATTTACCTGGCTCGCGCATGTGTTTGTTTTGGGGATGACTGAAACAACAACAAGACAGGAAAACTTTGCCCCCGCTCCTATCGGGGATCCCAGCTCACCTCTGCCACACTCCAGCTCCACCTCTCTGGTGTAAGCACCACTGCCACCGGGGTAAACGCAGCGGTTGGCTGGTAAGGCTGAAGGCCTGTTTGGCGAGCACTTCCACGGCTTCTTGGACTGAGAATGGAGCGGTGCCTCGCCTCTTTATTTCTTGGCACTCCCTGGACCCTGTCGACACCTGGCTGGTACCTGTTGTCGGCCTGGATGAGGTGTTCCAGCCCCACGGCCCCCACTCTCCTCGTCCCCGCGGCCCCCACTCTCCTCGTCCCCGCTGGCATGGGGTGAATCTGTGCAACCTGTGGCCTCTGTGTGTAGCTCCCCGAACAGCTAAAGCCGTGGACTCGACGGCTCCTGCCAGGATTGGGCTGGTAAATGCTAGATCGCTAGCGAACAAAACGTTTATCCTGAAGGATTTCCTGACTTCCTGAGGATTGGATTGTCTCTGTGTGACTGAGACGTGGCTGACTGTTGGTGAGTCCAGTGCTTTCACAGAACTTTTACCCGATGATTGCTGATATTTTAACTCCCCGTGGACGTCGGGTCGAGGAGGAGGAATAGCGACTATTTATAACAGTAACTAAATGTAAACAGCTAGGTAAGTGTGCCGTCTGAGTGCTGTAAATCGTTTCGTCCTGGAAACGACCTGGGACAGACCCGGACACAGTTTCCTAAAGGTATGGATATACACTATATAGAAATAGCTTATCTTCACACCGATGGTCTCATTTGCTGTTGTAGGTCACGCACAGACATCAGCAGAAACAAGAGACTTTTGCATATCCAGTTAAAAGATCCTTCTAGCGGCTTTAAGTACAGCGTCGATTCGACACAGAAATATAAATCACGCTTTATGCACGACCGAGTAATGTACCTGGGAATGCGTGTGTTTGAACTCAAGCAGAGCTCATACACACGTCCTCAGGGCATGCAATTCATCGGCAAAAGTGTTTGAAATAGAAAGGTTTGAGTGAAAATGCATGTGCTGAGAAACTACTGAGTATATGGCCGGATAAATGAGACTTGGATTATACTGCACCATATGTGTGAGAGGTTGTAAACAGATGTTTTGATATTGATTTGCCATTGTTAACGTGGTCCCCAGTGACTTCAATTCATGCAGAATGCTTCCCTTTTTGGATTCTCCATTCACTTTGAAGGCACAGAAGAAGTTCTTTTACGAAATCAAGATAATGCATGGTGAGTAATTGATATACAAATGGTCATCTTGCGGGTGAAGTATTCTTTTAAGTCCTTGTGGGCATGGAGCAACAGTTTTTTGACAGTAAGCAGAGTGCGAAATGACATCAAAGCAGTCAGTGTGAGCCAAATAAAAAACCCAGAGTACAACACAAACTGTGATGCTACAAAATTATGACTATATATTTATTATTGAGCTCAGACAGCTTTTAAGTGAGGAAGTTGTTTTTTATTGTGTAAAATGTTGAATGGCAGGAAATGACTGTGTGCAGGCAAAAATGTGGTATTGAATGGTACAAACTTTAAAGAAATGCTGAAAAATTTCATCTACAAGACCAGAAGGAAGATATGTCTCTTACTGTTCACGCCTGGTGGACACACAGGGTAGATTTGTTCAATTTACTGTGTACAACTGCTCACATTGCTGCAATGTCATTCTCAAGTGTACACTAATTCAATTTTGCACCATCTCTCTCCAAGTCTGTAACTATTAAACTTATGTGTGTGCTTCTGCTCAAGTTAGGCCTTGTTCAGTTGGAGGATTGTACCTTTTATGCTGTGTTGTGTCTTTGAGGTTTCATTTTGTAACAAAGGGACAATCCAAGGTTCACATATTCACAATCTCCACTGCGCTGAAAGGAGTGAAGCACAGCAACACAAAGAGACACAAGTCAGCAGCATGAGTTTGAGTCGAGTTGGAGTTATCCTTGAGCAAGATGCTGAATCCTCACTCGTCCCAGGGCTGCACTTGTCCTTGCATTATTGAGACCAAGAAAAGAGAAAAAAAATGATCACAGTATGGTTTATAGTTCCTAGTCAATGTCTGTCTTTGTAAAATAACAAATATGCATAAATAAAAATGTGTGCTCAGTTGTCCTAGATTTGCACCCTTACACCCCAGCAGGAGGCGAAGCACCTGTCCCCGTTTCACGACATGTCCACTGGGGGCGCCGTGCAGCACATCTGGACCGGTTGACCACTGCCAAGAAGCTTCAAAGAACCTGGCATCCTTTGATGCTCGATCACATTGTCTGTACCCCGCCAAGAAACATCCAGTTTTTGGCTTCAGGTGCAAACACCAGACACGCCAGAGAATGCATCCATAGCTGGGAGCATGGGAGAGGTGGTCCCAGAAGCAGGAGGTGGATGTCATTGTGCTTGTTAGCTGACATTATTTACTGTATTCCCTTTTCTGTTCGTACAAAAATAAGGCAAGACATAACTCAAGTCATAGTGCTCTTCAATTATTTTGAACAAACTGTGATACGTTTCCTGACAGATGTATGTGTTTAGATAAATTACATATATAAATGCAGCTTGTCTCAAAATGTAAATGGATGGAAAGCCCACAGGAGTATCAATCTGTTTGTGCACACATTTTAAACAGGAATTTAAAGTAAGCTATTAGCTATATCTGATCTAGTGAACATATTGTGCTTTATTCCTATTAAACATACAATGAGAAAAAGATAAAATGACAATGAATGTTGCTGAACAGTGGCCACGAGTGGTAATTAGGGGATGTTGGTACATGGTCCTACATTTCCCAGGATTCTCACCACACAGTCCCTTTAAAGATGTCATCATTAAGTGACCTGACAGCTCAGAGAGCATGGTCCGAAAGAAATGAGTTTGTTTTGATTTAATCATTAATCTGGGAGATAAAGCAAGTTAATTTGGAGGAACTGGGTTGGGAAACAATTTTGAATTGTTGTGGCCCAGTGTGTGATCTGTAGCCTGCCATATTAGCCTAGGTATTGTAAAGACACCTAAACACTGGAGAGGAGAAACACCTGAGTAGGAGCAACAGGAGCAGGACAAAAAGCCAGTCTATCAAGGTACAGCGTTTTAAATTATTATTTTTACTCTTGTGATATTCTGTTATTGTGTATTAAGTCAACTTATCTCTCACACACTACGATAAAACCATATTTCTTTACCTAGAGGCTATGCTTTAATTGAAAGATACCGTTTATCCCTCTCATTTATATGCTAAATGTGAAGCTACAGCAAGTAGCCTGTTAGCTTAGCTTGGCTTAGCACAAAGACTTGAAGCAGAGGAAAACTGCTAGCCTTAATCTGTACAGCTGTGACTAAATCACCCCTAAAGTTCACCAGTTGACGCTGAAGTTAATTAATGGGTGGGGGCGGTTATATTGGACTGAAATGTTCCAGAACATAACCCCGCAGTATTTATGCTAAGCTAACTAGCTGCTGGATGTAGCATCATCCTCACCATACAGCCTTAGTAGTGGTAATGGCTTGGGGTGAATGAGTACACCGTTACCTGTATCCATGGATACATTCTGAATCGCATACTTTTTCTTTTTACTTTTAGTATGTGCTGCAGCTGCCCTTCAGAAGTGTACTGTTTCATACTGTTGACTGTCTCATAATATAACCTTGAACCTCATATATCCATCACCATGGAGATAAACAAAATGCGTTCACCGACATCCTGGTATTTTTGGCATACTGCAGTTGACATACTATGAATTGGGACATACTATATATTTTTCTGGCATGCTATATGGTACGGTAGTGTGGGTATTGGAACACACATCTTATCTTAAGTCAGAATGGGCGGGTTTAGGCCGAATGTGGGTGGAGTTTGTACTGGGAATGGGTGTGGCCTAATTAAGAGTGGTTATTTAAGATCTCACTGCCGCGATACGGAAATGCGGGACGGATTTGTGGAATATTCGCGCAGCACCATTCCGCGCTCAAACCATACACACAGGCGCGGTACGGACGCAATGCGGAATTTCGCGTTGTTGTGTTCCAAGTCCACGCTGCATGAACGGGTGCGGATGAACATGGACGAGAGTAGTAGCAGCAGCAGCAGCGAGCTAGCAAGCTAACGTTTAACAAGCGTCAACATCAGCTTTCTTTAGCACTTACCACTCTCACCGCAGCCACCAAGCTGGACAATGGACTACCAGACGTTGTCCTTTAATTCATTGTTCTTAAAATCATCCCGTCTTTTATCAAAAAGGACGGGGTGCTGTGAAATTATCAGTCTTTCTCCCATAATGTCCTGCCTGGCTGGATTTCGGACTCTCACGGTCTTAGCAACTATAAACAAACAATTTCATTGGCCCAGCTGTATAGTTCCGCCGGCGAATTCCACAGGGGGGGTCATAGTCTGTGCGGAACCTTTTTTCACCGCACAAAAATACGGATATCCGCGAGGATATTCGCCCTCAGTGAGAATGGACTTTTAAATCTGAGATTGATCAGAGGTTGCTATATTTGTTATTTATAAGAAAAATATTTACAGAACAATCTTAGAATTGAGCTTTAGATAATTAAGAGTATGCTTTGTTCACATCATGAGCAACAAAACAACAGCGCGACAAGCTATTGAAACTGTGTTGCTGTTGAGATGTTACTCAAGCGCTTGTTAACATCGTCATGACATCACAAGCTTCTGTGTCTGCTACTTGCCACAAAGCACCTAGACTGAACGTTGTATTTGGTCTTTAAAATATATGCGCTTTTCATTAATGTCTTAGCCCTGCTTTCGCCACCACGTTGTGCACCCCAATGTACAGAAAGCTAGCTAATCTTCATTTAACTAAGCCAAATAACTCAGTACCCTGCTAGGAACAAAAACACCATGTCACCATGTCATTGAAGTGCCAGACTTTGATTTGTAGTGCTTCCCCACCATCCGCAACAACAAGTGTGGTGCGTCAGTTTGTAGCCTCTTGTCACCGGCTTCCATTGAAAATGAACTGTAGCTTGTTGCTATGTTGCTCGTAGTGTGAACACAGCATAAGAGATTTAATACAGCTGTCCAAATTAGGATTTTCTGTCATCACAAGTAAGGATATTTATACGTTTTACTCTGATGATAATTGTATTCTGTAATTGTAATTTCATTTTCTTTGTGTATTCTTTGTGTTTTCAAATACTTCAGAATGTCTAGACCTCTTAACCTCACACCTAAATACAAAATCCTGCAGGATACGCCAGGTGTGAAACACACCCTAGGGGGTCAGAGCCAATAGCTGCGGCAGACAAAAGAGTTTGAAAACAAAGGGTAGGGGCACTGCTCCCTGCCGCAGACAGAAGGGTGTGAAACACACCGTAAGAGGCGTTCCTCAGGTATAAATGTTTAGGCTTTACTATGTTCGGGGTCTTTAGTCATTCTGACCGCTCGTGTGATGACTGACCTTTTCTTTGCAAAGAAAATAAAAACCTTGTCAGCCGGCAGAAGTCTCTATTTCATTATTCACCAGCAGCAGAGAATTTCCACAACAATTTGGTGTCAGAAGCGATCGTCTGGGACGGGACGCGAACAGTGACAGGCCATCCTGGAAAGAAAAAGATTTCCAGCCTCCAACCTCAAATCCTCTTCTGAGAAGGAAAGACTGACCGCAAACGCCCCAGATCGTCACCGCTGGGATTTCCAAGAACGCAATTCAGCTAAATTCATCTGGTGAGCACTGAAATATTGACATTTAAGTTTTCTTTTCTTTAAAATTTGGGTTTAAAATTGGCATAACATTTCTGTTTCTCATGTTATCCACAATTGATCTTCTGCTTTTTATCGCTTGTAGCATAAACAAAGCGACCAGGTCTTTATCACTTGTCTCCTTAAAACGACGTGATCAGGTTCTTTATCACTTGTCTCCTTAAACGAAGTGACCAGGTCTTTATCACTTGTCTCCTTAAACGAAGTGACCAGATTCTTTATCACTTGTTTCATTAAAACGAAGTGACCAGGTCTTTATCACTTGTATCCTTAAACGAAGTGACCCTTTACAGAGACGTCTGTATTGTAATAGTCGTGCGTGACCTCCATTTGGAACGGGGAGTAAAAATTCCGTCGAGGTTGGACCTCCGGAGGGGCCGATTGTGGATATTATGAGAAGGAAATATGGGGATAAAAGTCTAAAATATTTAAATGTCTGGACAGCTGAGTTTGGTTTCCCAATAGGGGGATCCCTCAGTTTAAAAAACATATCAGAATTAGAAGAAAAACTGAAGGGCAAAGAACAAGAAATGAGAAGGAAAAAGAAAGTTTCTGTGAGAAAAAAAAAAAAAAATTTTGAAAAACTGAAAAATTGAAATTATAGAAGGTCAAAAAGAATGTTTACAGATGTGGAAAGGAGAAGCTTTAAATGTGAATAGGTTGAAACCAATGAAAAGCAAAATTCACACACACACAAAGAACACCAGACTCGCAGGTCTCCTCTTCTTTGTTTCCACAGTTGGCGGCTTTGAAGCTGGATCCAGATCTCAACGGCAACCCACCATTTCATCCTTCATTCAACACCTACAGAGGCCTTCAACTACCTGATGAGTCAAGCGATTCTCCAGATGTGTGGGAAATTCATCTCTGCAATTGTTTCTTAAATGGACTAAAACCGGACATTGCCTCAGCTGTTACAAGTGCCTGCATCGTTTGGGATGATGCATGCCTGTCCGAACTTCGCAGACACGCCATACATGCCCATGACCACATACCCTAAGATAAAGAAAAAAAGAAGAGACAACACAGAAGGAGCTTCACATGGCAGCAATAACCATGTATAACACAGTTATACAACATGGACAAACAGGTCATGAACTTAGAGGGAAAGAACACGGCCGACACAAGAACTAGGGAAGAAAAACTCCAAATGATGTCTGTTTCCTCTGTGGCCAACGTGGACATTGGAAACGTGATTGTCACAGAAATACCTCATCAAACCTCAGTACACAAGTCGGACTGAAAATGGATGGGGGTTGTTGGAGAGAGATGGACTCCTGCTGACAAGCCAAGCCAACTTGTGGTGCCGGAAGAAGGTACTGCACCACACACACACACACACACACACACACACACTGAGCAGATTAATACACAAGCTATTGAGAGTTCAGACAACACATATGCAATTGCACTAACATATGTTCACTACACATCTGATCATTTCAACAAGTTTCCACAACATACATTGACCATCACAGAACAAAATGTTGTATTCTTACTTGACTCAGGAGCCACACATTTCTGTGATAGAAGTTTTAGAATTCACTAAAAAAAACAAAATTAAGTGGAGATTATGTGTACTCTGTTGGTTCATCAGGTCAAACAATTAGAGAAAGCATTACTATCCCACTCAAATGTGCGGATGAGTCAAATACAAGCTCCAAACATGCATTCTTGCTCTCTGAAGTCTGTCCCATTAACCTGATGGGCAGGGACTTGATGTGCAAATTAGGCCTTTGTCTGATCTCAACCCCAGACGGTGTCAAAGTTCACAGACTAGCGGATCTAGAGCCAAATTTTTCACACTCCTTTGTTCACCACACCCCAGACCTACAGTATGCATATCAATGGAAATTGCAACCATCAGCTGCCTCTGAGACTGTGACTTTAGCTAGAGAAACAGTTTCAACAGCTACAATAGATTTTATGACATCAGAGGACCTGCATTGCACCTCTCATGTGTC